CACAGTCTTAAACCAGAATACAATGGGTGATCAATTAACCCATGAACGGCAGAAGCACCATACACGGTCGAGACCAAGACAAACACTAAGGTGTATTTACTAAGCATCAAACGACGGGTACGAAGAGGTTTGCAGAGATAAACTAGTATTGTCTGCTACTGGAAAAAGGGCATGGTTAGAACAATGAGGGACAAAGCAAAAAAGTAGTATAACGGGAATACAAGATCTGAACTATGATCACCTGACAAAGAGCAGTACAAAGTTATAAAAATACATAACCACGAAACATCAAATGTTCATTTGTACAGGTTCATTTCTGAGTCATCCATTCAGTCTACCTTAAAGGGCGGTAGTCGTCGCGCTGCGCATGTTCGACATTTGTGTTGATAAACATTGATTTTCCCACAATCCAATGCGCTCTTCAAATGGAAATCACAAGTATGAGGTTTGACCTGGGCGCGACTTGTACTGATTACCGCCGGTGCCTCCTTCGATACCTTCCAATCACATGAAAATTGCCTAATTAAAGCTTGGAAACGTGTCAGTTCGTACTCGTTGGTCTGCGCAACAGTCAAAGTCTTTGTTTATATGAGACCCATATATCTCGCACTAGCGCAGCGCGGCGACTACCGCGCTTTAATCAGACAGAACGGCAATCCCGTGTCGATTGTTGACATGTCATGGTGTGCCAATTTCTCTGATTCCGGAAAGATTGTTATACATCAAATTATAATGCGAAAGGTGGGCACAAATTAATTTGTATTGTAATGAAAATATAACACAACACAATATTCTACAACAAAAACCGAAAAATTCGCTCATCTTCACACATCGTGGTGCTAATCTTACATTTGATTCCAGAAAAATACTTTATCAGATTTTGTTCTAGTTGTTGTTAAATATATAAATCAGATTCGTTAAGTCAGCATCACGTAGCCGAAAACGTTGAGGACAACTGTCAGTCGCTTATTCTGTCCGAACATAAATAGAAAATATATATACGTAAACTCTCATGCAATCACATGTCAACTCAACTTACCCAAAATAGGTACACTGTTTTGCATCGGCGGTAGAGTTTCCGCGAGAAGTAGAAGAAACACAGTCAGCGACAGGAGTACGGTAATTCCGAGTCCCACCTTCTCTCCAGACTCAACCGGAAGAAAGAAACTCAAGAGCGTTGTGGCTGAGATAAGCGAACACGGCATGACTAAATAAAACACGTAGTACATGGGCAGTCGTTGCAAGAAGACAGTAAACTTAACATATGAGAATCGTTCCAAAGGGTAGTCCGGGTAATAATTGACTTCCATGATATCATTTACATAATTAAAACCAGTTAATTCCCATTCAGTATCACCTTCAAAGTAGTCTTTAGCCCCTGTAAAATACAACATATCATATTTATTGTGGGCCAAAGACTAAAGTATAATACACGACATGGACATGGTCAGACCGCACATAATTTGTGCAATTTACTATGCATACAAAGTTCATTGACATGGCACTGTTCATTACACTGTGAAATGTTTCTCAAGCAGCATGAGCGCCACCAAACGACAGAATCGTACTTTAATGCGAAGGCATTTACTGTATGGTAATTTTTAAATGACCTACGTGCGTGGATAGATATTTAACTATTTTTTTATTTAGCGGCTGTGTACTGGACGAAGATGTTGATCAATACGTGAAACTTGAAACATACGTTTTATCTTCTGCTTAATTGACTGGATGAGGTGTATATACTATTACTTACATTGGAAATTAGCGAATGGTTTTACACCAGTACTTTTCAACCTACCTGTTCCGTCGACCAGGAGATTGTAAAGAGTGTGTACATTGTTCAACTAACCTGTTCCATTGACATATATTTCCGACGAGTTGTGAATCCATGGACCAAACGTTATGTTACATGTTTGTTTGTCGAATGGAAAGTTCTTCACATTCATTTTACAGTGTGACTTTATAATAACTGGGGCAGCCCACATTACTTCACCGTCATAGTTCACCACACACTGTGTGTTTAAAGTGTAGTCTTCGTATTTGATGTCGGCACTATTTGAAAGACATTGTAAACATTGTCATATTAGTTCAGATTTTGGTGGTAATTCGAGTCACTTCAATAGATGTTTGCTTGCAGGGTTGGCGCTAGGGATTTCGTCAAGCCACATATGGTACATATTAGGAGTGTGTTGATATCATTTTGATTTTGAAAAGCGCATGAAAGAATATTAATGAAATGCAGTCATGTGAGAAATTGTGGTTACTCTTTCGTTCACAGTTTTAGCCTAAGCCTAATTCAATCAGCATCGACGTAAACAAATGTGTTGTCACGTGTATGTGTCAGTAAGTGACAGACACATATGACTTTTCAACGAGCATGTGCTTTTTTTCTCAAATGCCATCGGCGTCTCCCAAGGCACTCAGACAGTATTCGTCGCACTCTGCATATTATATTCGCACAAATAACAGGCATATGCTCTATGAACTCTCTACAAATTAAACTGAGCTCGATAGCCTTTGTGTTCATGATTGAGTGCAGAAAAAAACAGGGTCAACAGACAGCAGTCTAAAATAATTAACTCCGTGAAAAGCATTGGCAATAACAAACAAAGACTTCCAACCCATTAAATAACGAGCGTACACATAAACAATGGCGCTGTCATTTATTGGAAGTGAAAAACAAAAATCCCGGGTCAACTTGGTCCTAAGAATGTATTCCCTGACATAAAGCGAATATGGCCACGACACACAAGCACACACATAACATGTAGTACAATGCAGTAATGTATGACCGAATCCCACCAAATAGTCAATCTAATAAGAGACTGTCAGTAGATGGTCGGTTTGCACGCCAAAGGCAGGTACAGTCAACCATAAAATACACTATACTTCATCGATAAACAAAAATTAACGTTTAGATTTGTTGTCATTGGTTTCGTCTCTACATACATTATTTGGCGAATGCGATTGATTTTCTTGTTCATTGTGTGCATTTAGATAACATTAATTATACTGCAAAAATAACGTTATATTTAGTATAGAATATGGTACTGCTATAATACTTACTTTTCATAAAGCCATAAATCAGGTAACCAAACATTGTCACTATAAGTCTTGAAGTTCACAATTCCACCATAATCGTCCGGGTCCCAATGCAGGAATTCGTCTTGCCACCTCTATCAAAAATAATGATGATCAGTAAAACATGTCGTATTAGTTATTAGTTTTCGCGAGATATTTATCGTACATCACTAAGAACACCAATATGCAGTTAAGTCTGCTATTTACAGTCGTCTCTCTATTTTATAATTCGAAACTGCGTAAATTTTATTGGGATCCGACACCAGTTACTTAAGTTGCTTAATTGGTTATGTTGTAAAAAGCTATCACGCGGATTAATGTTTAATGAACGGACGTCCGGTTTTATCGTTATGTGTACCTTTGTACTTTTACAGGAATGTCGAACTTGCTCGAGTACAGTGCGAATAAGACGGAATTCACTTACTATTGTCAGCCACACATTCATTTTCAGTGTTTGAAGTCGTTCGTCCTGTAAATAAAAACACATATGTAGATTATCATATGATATAATAAACAGCGTGTATAGTACACTGACCAAGGGGCATAATGTATTGCATAGTGTCGGTAAATGTTTATTATTAGCAGGGATTTTTGTATACCTAGTAACTCAATGACATCACGTGATAATGAAATAATTGAAGCTGATGAATTTTATGAAATATGATTTACATGTATAATGTGCGATTTTATCAGTGTGCTCGCAATTTGAGTTGCCTGGACGACATGTATTGGAATCTCGTGATTTCTGTCAGAATACGGCATCTTTTGCGGACCGCCTTGTTCCTATATTGTACCACTAAATAATTATTTCAATTTTAACACAACCAAGTGCCCATACTGTTACAGTTACAGACTGCCGCCACATATAGGGTATACAGGTGTTTTGCTTTATCATGAGTGCTTATAGTATATGTGCCGAGCTTTGACAGCTTATCTCATTCCCAACTATTACATCATGAACGACGTGATCAACCATGACCAGTATTTAGACGCATACCGAGAACATAGTACGGCAATGATCACGCCTGGTTAAACAATATATACAACATGTGCTCACTCTAGCATTCCTTCTTGAATTTACGTGTTTCTCTAGAAGATTACACTTTGTATTGTGATAGTAATTCATTCATTTATTTGCTATCTATTTCTGTCCATGTATCCGCTGTTATAATTCTGTTACTTTTATTGCTTTGTGTTAATTCTACTTGTTATTGTATTATATGAACCATGATGTTTTAGGAAGGTCAAAGAATAGATTATACTGCTGCCTCCATGGGACGCAATATACACTCATTGAAAGGTACATGAGTTCACCTATGCGGGACTACAGATAACCTGGACGACCAGTGCTAGTAAGTGGGTATGTTAATTGTTTTAATTATCAAATCACTCGGATTAACTTGAGGCAATCAATATATGCTACGGTATAGTTCGATGACAGTTTTCTCGTTAGAAATACGTAATACACACTGATATAATGTATATGTATATACTTGTATTCAAACGATGACACTTGTTAAATACATTTACATAGTTCCATGAATGTTGTAACATAACGAGGATTGCATTCTGGTTAATAATACACTACTTAGAAATTATATTATATGATTTAATTTAACATAATGAACGCAATAACTCACCACATCCAATACCTGGGAGAGAAAGAACTGTAATTCAAGATACGTTGTTGTGCTCCAATTAGAAACTGGTCTGACTGTGGTGTCGTACGTTTGATTAAAGAAAAGATATTCACGAAGACGGTGATGATGGTATCCCCCAAGTATACCTAGCAAACAAAGAGTGAAATAAATGTTACTACCGTATACCTTAACGATATATGTTACAGTAATGACAAAAGTTTCCTGATTTTTAAACTAGGAATATAGTATGTGTATAGAAACATTTCAAGGAGCACAGTAATAATTATAGCATGGCAAGTTCCATGATAAATTGGAGCAGTGGCCATTATTGAAAGGTAATCGATTGAAAGTGAAGTGACATACGACACATGAACGCTTTATGCAGACAAGAGTCTTTTTGTCATTACAAATGTACTGCATTTTTGTCATGCAGACATCTTGTTCTCAAAACTCTGGTGTTTATATTTAATTAACAGCGAAGCATTAAACAATGAACACTGCATTCTTTCCCGATATGTGAGTTTTTGATTATCCTAACACGTGCCGTTACTAACTAAAAGGTTAACTCGAAAAACGCAACAATACACTAATATAAATACAGCTTGGTGTAGAACACGCACATGTAACCTGGTATACTAGTTCGACATATGTTCATGGAAATGTTATAATATGATTTATAAAGTGGTATTGAATGTATATAACCCGGTGTGTGTCTCGTTTTGTGAAAGTGGATACGATTGCGTGACATTCAATGAAACCATAGCTTTCGCGTGACAGGTTTTTAGGGTGTCAAACTAATTTAACATCGAAGTACAATCGACGTACGTAAATTTACACTTTGTGTCTGACTCATAATCTATGCTGAAGAGCACGGTGTTTAAAGGATTTGTTCGTCTCATTGCGGCATTGTTTGTACTTTTTTATCGAACCGTGGCTGAAAGTCGCTGGTGTTTGTTACAAGATATACATGCAATCAGTCTTGTAATCTGACGGTAGCTGTTCTTTATTTTGACGATAACAGTTCATTGTTTGAGCTGAAGTTCGAAAATTCAACGATTATGACTAGACAAACATTTGGTGAATTACTTTGTGATTAACATAGTTTAAAGTGACGGACAACCACAATTAGTGCTAAAACTGGCAATCGGAATTATACTCGTTGACTTTTAACTTTCTTTATTTAGAACTAGTGCATACTTAGTGGAAGAGTCGGAATACGTCCAATACGATACAAGTTACGGTAACAACAAAATGGAATACGGGTCACCAGTTTTACACGAGATGAAACTTTAATGAGAATATAAGTGTTGTAACCAATTATTGTGGCGATGAATATATAGGTGACCAGGGTCTATATTTTTATCTGTACATCAAACTATTAATTCATCAACTGCCGGTGAACTTTTCACATCAGTGTGTTGCTTCAACTTGGACATGTGAACGCGTACTCTGTGATCTCACAGAAACAACAAAGTAACTATATAACACATACCAACAGCACATACCCAAATCTCGTGAGAAAACAAGCAACAGTGTTTGCTTTTCTTATATCAGTGCATAAGACCATATTTCATACATGCGGGAGAGCGGTAATGGCAGTGGAATTTGCCTTCATTATAAATATTTAGATAGATAGAGCGTTCCATTCTGAATGGTTGCTTTTTCTCAATGTCTAGTTTAAACTATGCGGAGTTTGCATTGATGACTCGACGTTATTAGACCACACAATTTGAATTGACGTGTCAGATATAAGTCCGGATTCTGGAGAATTAAAAATGTAACACAATATGATTATGCCGTATATATCACACAATATAAAAAAATTCCCAGATTCACACAAATTACAGCTTACCATGTAAACCGTGTAAATTACTGTAACGTGACTGGAATGACGTCATGACTAATAATTAACACCAGACGATAAAGGGTCATATACATATTGAGTTTTAATTATTAAATGTGGGAATGGTAATATTAAGTAGCAGTACTTCTCGTAATGCTGATGGATTGTATATGGAATGAGGGGAAAATGGGTTTTCGTAGCCAGGAATTGCAGAACTATGTAGACACAAATGTTTCTGTCTGGAAAGCTATAATAGATAGTGTTGTAAAGTAAAAAATGCTTTCAGAAACAAGAATAGAATCACAACACAGTTCTCTGATAACTCAGTGAGTGTCACAAGAGCGCCACAATGGTCGATTTCAGCAGATTTTGTCATTCTACGACCTCTCCCTTTCGAAAAACACAATTTTGAAAGCTACGAATGCACTGAATTTTTTTTTTATTTAGTTTTGCTACGTTGTCTCACAGATTCGTAACGATAATGCATGTATCCATGACATTCTCATACCATATTGTTGACATTGACTTGATTGAATAAATCGCTCACTCTCAGTGTCCACATAATAGCATTTCTCAATGCACTTACCAATTTGAAATAATTGATTAATAAGTGTTTTGTGGCACCATGTGGCCGCTGGTTTGCTAGATTGTTACCTCCGCCATAGTTTTGTCGACGACGTTGGTTTGTCTGACTGTCCATCTGTCTATCAGGGAACTCAACAAATCATAACATTTTTGGACTTTTTGTTTTTTTGAGAGAATAGTAAATTCATCAAATTTTGGATTTAGAATCGGTTTAAATTTTTGAACTGGTCGAAACAGAGACAGAATTGATTTGATTGTTTACACACACCATTAATCACAAAATTGTAGACAGACTGCCATGCGTTTTAGAAGTTTCTGTCCTTTAGACAAA